AGAAAAAAGTATTTTCTAGAAGCCCATAATGTTGACAGTTACTTTTGAAACTAGTTTTCATACACCAGGCCTTATTCTGCTTTTGTATGACCTTCATATTTGACACTGCAGCACAGCCACAGCACAGCTGGAGAAGAGCCTTCTTGGCTATGCTGTCATTCCTGCCTACAACCATCCAAAACATTAATAACTCCTAACAGTAATATCCTGCTTCCATTACATCTTAACAACACATAAAATCTTCACAAAATTTGAGTTCTTCTCATTTAGTTATTTTTTAAATACAAAAACCACCCTGACCACCATTATCATGGACTATTTTTCTGTGTTGCTAAAGAACAAAGGGAGTCATAAATGGAGATATTTGACACTGATAGTGTAATTCATGATACTCAAGAGAAGAAAAGGTATTGAAAAACTGCAACCATGAAATTTATGTTTTAAATATTACTAAAGGTGACTTGGGTCTCATTTTGAAAATCTTCTCCAATAAACTGTGTGGATTGCTGCCAAGACATAAAGCAACTCACTCGGATTTAATTCCTACCATTCAAAGTTGAGGAAAAAAAAAAAGCGTTGATTCCCAACATAAAAGAAAAATAAAGCAACCCAAACCGCTGCTTGCTTACACCAAGTGTAAAGTTGGTTTTGTTTACAGTTAAGCAAGACAGGGTTTTTTTGTGTATTTATTGTGAAGTTTTACTTCATTAGGTACAAAGCAGTGCTATATATCATGAAGATGATGCAGAGTTTGCATCCCCCACTTTAATTGGGTTGATCTCGCAGATAAGAATATTTCTGTGTTCAGATACAGCATGAAAGAGGACCCATCATGCTCTAATGGCAACTAAAGATAGTACTTCACTCAATAGCACTTAAGCTTTCTAGGCCTCCACAGCCAAACCCCTACTTCAGTAATTGATTATTTCACCATAAATACTTAACATTGCTCTAATGCAGGAAACTCTTTGATGTCAGTCTCTAAATACTGAAATAAAGCAAGCCAAAAGCACATCCTGTACCACCCACCAGTGCATTTGCTGTACTCAGGATACCAAAGTGGTCTGCAGTGGTATATAGGAAAGATGTTACTATTATATGCAGAGTCCCAGCAGCATGTTAAGTAACAGTGCTAACACTCTGATGGTTTCAACACTCCAGAGATTCCAGATTTTCTAGGTGAGCAGGTGTGCTAATTATACGTCTACAGTAAGTATTACTCCTCAAGCAGAAACAGCTCAAGGAACTGGAGCATCTCCCATGGAGCAGTAGTTGTTGCAGGCAGAAGAAAGGGAGTATAATCCCAGGATTAAAAACGCCACTAATGGAAATACCATTTAAAAACAAAAAAGGCATGTATTAAAGGCATAGCTTTATAATGACTATTTCCAGGTAAGTTTTACTTCAGATGACAAATAATTTATTGCCTAAATTAATGCTCTCTTCAACCAGCACACCCCTGAGCTTCACTGTGACAGCCACTTAGATTAAGCAGGAAAAAGGGATATGTAGCTGTTCTTCATAGAAGTATTATCCAAATTCTGAAAACTGTTTAGAAAAGAAGCAAAAAAAATAACCCCGCCAAAGACAAGATACACTTCTGGATCTCTCCTCAAATACACACAGGTGGAAGGCAATGTGTTCAAGTGTAATAGCTACTAATGGCTGACAAGTACTTCCACAAAGCATGCAGGTGTAACTGTGGGCAGGAGGAGTTAAATTTGAAACAGCTAGTGTCAGAGACCCACAGGATACTAAGAAGGCTATCAGCAACATCAGTCTTCACTCAGTCACAAAGAGAAAAAACAAGTAATTTTAAGTGAGCCTAAAGAGCAGCCAGGATTCTCTCTACTCTGCAGGCAGTTTTGTCACTTTCTATTGATTAGCTGGACCAGTAGATTCACTACCATCCACTAGCTTGTTACCTGCAATAGCTGTTTGAATTTTACAATTTATTCCTGAGGCTATGAGAGGAAGTTAAATAAGTATGGCAGTGACACAGATGACACAACTATGGGTAGCAGTTTTCCAGTTAGCAGTTCTCCCCAGTAACTGTTGGTGTAACTCAGCTGGTTCCAATGGTAGCACATATGCTAGACATCGGTGTTTTTACCAGTATCACCTGAAGTTGGCCAATGACACTGGTCAAGGCACAAAGGGTTTGGTAACATGAGAAACACAAGAGAGGTTTGCATTCAGAGCTAGAAGCTGCAATTGCATGTACAGAGTGGGACCCTGCAGAGCACTATGATCAGTGAAGCTCCTCCATACAGGAGCTGAACTACCCAGAAGAGGTACAATTGCAGAATCTGACCTTTTCATAGTAAGAATGGTCAGTTAAAAAAAACCAAAACACTCTTACCACTAAAGCCCCAAACTGAAGTCTAGTCTAGATTTCTCAGGAGAACATTCTCCTTTGACCTTGCCAACCTAGTAAGCTTGACTCATCACCCAAGTTATGGCCCTGTATCTTAAAACGCTTGGCAGAAAGTCCGCAGGCATTACCACAACTTGGTGTAATAACAGGAAAAAGGGCCATTTCTCTGACCACAAAACAATTCTGTTTTCAAGTTCATGAAAAAATTCATAAAACTACATGTCATACTAATCTGCACTTGAAACAGCCTTGTTTAAAATGATCAAAATCTACTCTTAGTTAAGATTAAACTTTAAATGAGAGAATTCTTTACTAGCCTGTATCCAGAATGGTGCTTTTACTAAGAAAAAAAACAAAACAAAAACAAACAACCAAACAGTAAGAACAGCTGTGTACTACAAGTCACACAGCAGCTACTCATACAACTCACCCTTTCTCCTCTACAGGCAAAAAACATCACAAGTTCACCTTAAAGACAAATACTGTGTTTTTTTTCTCTTGTCACCCAAAAAGTGCCAAATAAACAAGTGTTTCAGCTGTCACTGATAAACTTACTCTTCAGTAATACTCAATTATCTCCAGTGTCTGTGTACCCTCACATAGCTACCTAATCAAAATAAGGAAAGAAGCCCAGTGATTTTTAAACACCTAACAGCATCATGATAAACTGTCTATTCAGATCTATAAGATCTAAGTACGTTTGCTCAGAATCCAAAAGATGACTGCCAAATGAAATTTAGCAGATTAAGTACAGCTGAATTAGGCTTAAAAAAAAAAAAAAATCACTTTCAGATACTGCTTCCTGAAAATGGCATCAGTAACTCAATTATAGAGTTTCAAGCTAATATGTAGAGGTCGAAAGCCTGGGAACGCCTTTAGGACACACAAGGACATTGCACTGTTGGCTTCAGACAGCCCTGAAGAGTCTCATGCTCAGAGTAATTTCTTCAGAAGTTTCAACCAGCCAGCGTGAGGGCTTATAATGAAAATACCACTTCAGTTCTAACTTTGTATTGTTTCACTTACACAACTTCTTTTGCTGTATAAAAGGCAGCAAGCAAACATCTGGCATATACAAGTTCGAAGGGTTACGTTCCCCTTTCCCTTTGTTTTAATATAAGAAATTACGCCAGTAGGTTAGAAGGGTTTATTTGAAGAGTCACAGCAGACACTACACAGGAGAGCGCCAAAAGTTCAAAATCATCAACTGCCCTCAAAACCATACCACAACCCCCACACATACTGTGCCGTAACAGCCTGATGGGTACGCCCGCTTAAGGAACCTTCTGCTGGCAAGTAACAGAGCACATCTAGGGCTCCACACGAGCATCAGCACCCGAGTTCCTACGAGAGTCACTACCGGGAGAGCAGAAGGCAGCCCGGGTGGCCCCGCTCTGCAGCTCGCCTCTCTCCGCGGCTCGTCTATCGCACCGGAGGAGACCCGCACGCGTGAGCCCTCCTCTGTATGCGAGAGGGAACGGAGACGGACGGGAGAACGGCGGCGGCAGCGCTCCCGCCCGCGACCGCGCTACCGGATGGGCGGCGAAAGGGACCTGAACCCCCGGCCAAAGTCCTCCTCCTC